TCCCCCCTTCCCCACCTTCTGTTTATCATGATCTCTGCTGATAGCTCTTGTGCTCTCTCTCTCTCACACTGCCTCCCTCCCTCCATATGCCAACCCCCCCCCCCCCCCTCCCGTGCTCACACACACCGTATATGATCTATATCGGTGTATGTGTGTGGGTCTTTGACGCTGCTGATTACCTCCATTCTCTCTCATACAGGGCTTTGTGTACATGTGTGTCGCCGATCATGACACAAGGCGCCGCGTGGCCATCGGGTACTTGGCTGACCTGGAGGCTCGGTTCAAGGCTGACATTTCGCAAGGCGAGCGCGCATCGGCCGGTGCCATTCCGCAGTTTGCGCGGACTATGGCGTCGCGCATGGACTTTTTCAACAACGATCCCTCGGCTGACAAGCTCTCGCACATCCAGGCCGAGCTCGAGGGCGTGCGCGAGAACATGCTCGAGAACATCGACAAGATCCTTGCTCGCGGCGAGAAGATCGAGTTGCTCGTCGCCCAGACCGAGGAGCTCAACCAGCAGGCAGCCACCTTCAAGTCCAAGTCGACCAAGCTCAAGCGCCAGATGTGGTGGCAGGACAAGAAGATGTCTGTCATTCTCTGCTTTGTCTTCCTTGCAATCATCGCCGTCATCGTCACTGTCATCTGCGCCGCCACCGGATGCGGCTCCAAGAAGTAGCCACCTCCTCGACAAACCAGCAAACCTTCCGCGACACATCGTTTACTCTCACGAGACATGTGTCCGCGGCGCCGAGATCACGATCTCAATGTGCCCAACCTCCAGCAGCGGCAGCGCGTATGACGCAACGGTACAGGCAACAGTGGCAGCCTCAATGATCGCGTACGCCAGCTGGTGGATGCCAAAGATGTCGAACCAGACGATGCGCTCATGGAAGAGGTACAGCAAGACCGAGAGTCCGCAGGCGAGGCCGAGATTGAGCGCCGAGTACCACGGATACGACGACGACGGCGGAGCCCAGATGTAAAAGTACGCCGTAGATACAAAGTTCTGCCCGAAGGCTGCAGCAAAGTACGCCACCGATGCTGCCACATGCCAATCCTCCCACTCGCCCATGGGCACGACAGCGAGGATGGCGAGGAAGAGGACTGCGAGAGAGGTCAAGATCAAGTTGATGCCAGCGACCACCCGCTGTGCCGCACTCGCATCGGGCAACGACCATCTTGCCACTGTGGCCACAATGGTCAAAGCCACAACAAGAACAAAGGTACCAGTGTTTGCCAGAGCAAAGGTAAACGAGGCAGGAGCTGAAGCTGCTGCATCTGACAGCAGAGGAAATCGGACCGAGCAGGAATACGAAGTGCGACAAGCAATGACGACCGGAGCCACCAATCCCATCATTGCCCAAACAAACGATACAGCCACAATCGTTATCAGTCGCACACTACCCATGCGACCGCCAGCCTTCCGTCCTGTACCCATACCACCACCTCCACCACCTCCACCTCCTCCACCTCCTCGGCGACCTCCTCCGCCTGCACTCACTCCTGCTCCTGTCCGGCTCCTTCGTTGCATCTCCCCGCCCACTCCAGCCTCGCTGTCTCGCCCTCGCAGGATGGTTACCGCCACGTCGAGTGTTTCTCAACTCAAACTTGAGCTCTTGTCCGTCTCCTTGCCCGAGCCCAAGCCCGAGCCCCGAGTCAGAAGCCCAAGCCCGAGCTCAAGTCTCGCGCCTCGCCCCACCAGCCACCTCGCCGTCAAACTGTCATTGATTCGTTGGTGCTCCAACTCGCTCATCGCCCACCCGCCCCGCCACCAACTCATCGCCCACCCGCCCCGCCACCAACCCATCGCCCACTTACCCCGCCACCAACCCATCGCCCACTTACCCCGCCACCAACCCATCGCCCACCCGCCCCGGCACCGATCATGGACACAGGCCTGAGCTCCACCACTGGCCTCTCTTATCGTATAGTTC